TACAGATGAGAAAACTGAGGCCCAGATGAATAAAAAAAAGCAAGATGCTCAAGGTCACACAGATATTAAGTGACAGAACTGGGACTAGTATTCAAGTCTGGACTCCTAGGCTTAGGCTCCCTCCATTAGAGCACAATTTTCCAATAATACCTCTCCTTTACAAAGCATTTTAGTTTGATAGAACACAAACAATGTAAGCAGATGCACCATTTATTTCCAGCTCCTGGAATTGCTTTGGAATCCTGAGGATCTAATTTGAAAAACCATTTCCTCACCTGCCTTCCCCTCCCCCGCTTATCTCCCACTCCCAAAGCTAAACATCCCTAATTATCCTATGATCACAGGATCACAGATTTAGAGTAGGATTTATCTTGTTTTTAAGATTCTCTAGGGACATACGGATTACATATACCTTTGAAGCCTAGTATTCCCAACTGTTAGCCATTTTCAAAGACATAACACCTTAGATTTTATCTTAAAACAAAATCTAAACTCTTAGTGTTTAGGTAGATGAGAAAGTGTAAGGTGTTAAGGTAGATGAGAAAGGAAGCAGAATATAGAAAGAATATGAGATACAGTTTCAAAAGAGGGAGAAGGGAAAAGTGTCAAATGTGATGAAACAGAAAATGAGTGGAAAGGGCAGAAAGAAAGGAGAGAACATGATGATATGGAAATGTGTGTGGGGAGAGAGACAGACAGACAGACAGACAGACACTAGGTCTTCCTATCAAGGAGTGAAACAGATGGGAGAAGGGGAAGAAGGAGGAAGAGGAGGAGGAGGAGGAGGCAGCAGAGGAGAAGAAGAAGAAGAAGGAGGGGAAGAGGAGGAGGAGGAAGAGGAGAAGAGGAGAAGGAGGAGGATTAGGAGAAGGAGGAGAGAAGAAGATGTAGAAGAAAAGAAGAAGAAGAAGAGGAGGAGGAGAAAAGAAGGGAAGAAGAGGAAGAAGAATGAAGAGGAGAGAAGATGTAGAAGAGAAGAGGAAGAAGAATGAAAAGGAGACAAGGAAGAGGAAGAGGAGAAAGAGGAGGAGAAAAAAAAGGTGAAGGAGGAGAGAAGAAGAAGATGTAGAAGAAGAGAAGAGGGAAGAAGAAGAAGCAAGAAGAGGAGGAGGAGGTGGAAGAAGAAGGCTTTCCAGAAACTACGAAAGATACACCAACTACCTAGTGTTTGTTGTTGAGTCATTTTTCAGTCATATCTGACTCCCTTGTGACCCCATTTGGGGTTTTCTTGGCAAAGATATTGGAGTGGTTTGCCATTTCCTTCTCCAGCTCATTTTTTTTACAGATGAGGAACTGTGGCAAACAGGGTTAAGTAACTTGCCCAGGGTCCCACAGCTAATATGCATCTGAAGCTGGATTTGAACCATAAAGATGAGTCTTCCTGACTCCAGGCACAGTGCTCTAGCCACTGAGCCATCTAGCTGCCTCCCACAAAGTCTTTCTGCTCCTCAATATCCTTGTTGATATGGGATACAAAAGAGAAGAGAACATTTCCGTCTCATTAGTGAGCCAGTAATGGAAAGCCTGCTGGAATTGTTGGAGTAAGAAAAGTCTGGGGTTCAAATCCCACGTCTAATACATGACCTTGGGAGACTCTTAACTTCTGCTGTCCCTGAATTGTCTTCTCTATTTAAAAAAAAAAAAGGTGATAATAAATGGCCGGAAGCACTTCTCTCCTAGGGTTGCTGAGAAGATTCAATAAGAAAAGCAATACAAAAGATGACATGTATGTAAATAGCTCCAATATAAGGCAGAATTCAGTCAGTCTGTGACAGCAAATAACAGAGCTAGAGTTCTTTAGAGGAAGTAAAGATCAAGTGGAGTTCAGTGTATCACAGAACATTTCCCAGCCAGAGAGCATTCAAACTAGCTTTGAAGGTATAGTAGGATTCCAACACAGACCAGAGGGTTAGCTATTTCTTAGCTTGCATTTACATGACGATTTACATGATAAGGTACGCATTTGATCCTCACAACCACCATGGGAGGTAGGTACTCTTATTATACCCATTCTGCAGATAATGAAACTGAGGCAGACAGAAATTAAGTGACTTGTACATACTCCCATAGCTAGTCATTATCAACAGGCTGGATCAAAACCCAGATTTTCCCAACAAGTACAGGTCTTGGTTAGTCACAACACTACATTGCATCATGGAGTACAATTAAGTCTGAAATGGTAGACTGGGGCGATCTAGTGGTGAGTCTTAGGAAAGAGAATTTTTTAAAAGATATTTTAAAATCATTTCATAGGATTTGTAGAGATGTAAGAGACCTCCAAGATTATCTAATTCAACCCCTACATTTTTCAACAGTTTAATGTAAGGGCAAATGGTCATTTATAATATAAGTGTCAAACCAGGGCCCAGCAGGTGGCTTCCCTGAGAACTAAATTAAAATGAAATTAGGAAACTTTTCAAAAAATAAATAAAAATACAACAGAACATAGATAATGTTGACATGTAGTTTTCTAAGTCAGCATATAGACCCCAGAATCCTTAAGTGAGGAGTAGCGGACATTTTTCTATTTGAAATTGACACCACTGATTCAGAAAATGCAATATTTTTTGAGAGGGAAGGATTATCTACTTGGGGAAAAATCTAATCAATTTATTGACTTCTCATATTGCTCTGATTTGTGGGGAAGTGTTACAAAGTGGAAGTAGGGTGCTATTAGGTTCTTATTTTTCTAGATTCAAGTTGAAAAACATCTGTCTGACTCACTTCCAGAGAAATATGTGTTCCTTAAACCAGAGAAGGTCAGAGCTCCAAGAAATCTTAGTGATCAACTTGTGCAGCCCCTTCATTTTATACACAAGAAACCTGAGTTCAGAAGATTTGCCTAAGGCTGAACAAGGAAAATTTAAATTAGAACCCAGGAATTCTATTTTCCAATCTAGAGCTTTTTCTACTATATACTTCTCCAGAGTTATATTAAGAAGTGGCCTGCGTTCAAGTCCAGCCTTGAAGCGCTTATAAATATTTTTAAAGGGCATTACCCTTAGCACACAGTCATCTAGATCTAGCTAGATCTAGATTTCAGTGAATTGAAATACTGCCTCAAACACTTCCTAACTGTTCGACCCTGAGCAAGTCACTTAAATTTCAGTCTGCCTGTTTCTTCATCGGTGACACTGGGATGATAAATATTAGCTCCCAGGATTGTTATGTGGATAAAGTGAGAAAATGTTTGTAAAGTGCTTCGCAAAGCTTAAAGCATTATATGTGTTCATTCTTATTATTGCCCACACATCCATGTTCTTCTGTTTGTTCACTTCATGCTCACTTCTCTCCTTCAGTCCATGTAGGTGTCTTGGCCTGGGCCTAATAATGTTTTTAGACCGTCTTACAGATAGGCAGGCTCTCCTAAGCTAGGAGATCAAAAGCACCCTTAACTTCAATCTCTAAAATTGGCAAGAAAGAAACGGCATTGCTAAACATCCTTTCTCCTGACCCTTTGATGTACAAAACCACCCCTAGTTGTTTTTTTTAACCTTACTTATGTTTCTCAATTGCTATTTTTCCTTTCCATTTCTCAGATTTTTTTTTTAAATTCAGGATCATTTTTATCCCCTCTCCACCCCACCCCCACCCCATCTAATTTCACAAGTTAGTGGTAGGCTCTATTTTGACTAGCTAACCTGTTTTCTTGGGCTGGGGTCGGGGTGCTGGAGAAGAGACGTGGGGATGTGAGGGGAAAGGCCAGTTCTTCCTGGTCCTAATGCCCATCAACTAACTTCTCAAAGCAAGGCTTCCCTCACATTTGTTCATTCAGTCTTTTATCTGTCTTTCTGTCTGTCAGGGTCTGTCTCTCTGTTTGTCTATTTACTTACACATCTACTGAGTACCTGGTTTAGGTGTTCTCAGAGCCCCTTGTAATTTATGAATAAGTAGCTGAAAATATGGTGAAATATAGTGTACTGAGTTGATCGAGTTTAAACTTCACTTTGGTGTAGGGGTGTGTGTGTATGTGTGCGTGCGTGCGTGTGTGTGTGTGTGTGTGTTGTGTATGGGGGGGTACTTCGAACATTATTCTGTCCCTCCTACACATATACCTCAAAACTATACACACGCACACTCGGTTTTTTTCCCCCCACTGGACCAGTAGTTCCAGTTCCCTTGCCCCCCCACCTTTTGTCTTAAGTCATTAACCTTCGCGCGCCCCTCCCGCCCCATCTCCATCACACTAACTTCTCAGCGCTGCTCTTTCCCCTCCCCGATTCACCCTACACTTGCAAACTTAAACCTTACGTGAGTTTTTGATCAAAAGTCTCAGCTCAGCATCCCCCAGTCAGCCCTCAAGCTCATGATTGCTGCAGGCAGCCAGGTTCTCTCAGCTTAGTAAATCAAGCTGCAAGCGCCAGCACCCCAGTGGCGGTAGTGGGGGTGGGGTGGGGGAGAGTGGTAAAGAGATAGCCAGAAACATGTGTCTTTGCGTCTAATCTATGAGAAAAATATGCGTTTAGCTTTCCTTGGGTAAGAGGGCTAGCAGGTTCGACTACTTCAAGAATGAGAACGCGGTGGGCTAGCAAAACTTCATTCAAAAGATAACTAGGAAAGGTCGCTGTGACTCCATGCCAGACTGGAGAGGGCCAATATCAAGTGTGATTGAACAGCCAGTGAACTCGAATTCACTTATACATTTTTTTTTAAATTCCCCTCCAGGCCGTATGCTTAACTGTAAACAAAATTGTCTGGGGGAGGAGGTCTCTCTCGATCCTCGCACGGGGTTTATTTTCCAATCACACAAGGGGGAGGAGATTTCCTCGTAGACATGCAAAGGGTGATGGATAAACGTGCGGGCACTAAGACCGCAAGGCATTCGTTTCCTCCTACGGTTGATGCAGAAGCAGAGAGAGGAGGAGAACCCCAGACACAGGAGAAGGAGAATAGCAAGAACAGGAAAAAGCAATGCTAAATCCAGGATACAGCTGAGAGAGACACAGAGGCTGCACAGGGAGGGGGAGAAATAGGGGGGTGGGTGGGGGAAGGACCTCAGAGAGTACTAGAAAGGGGGGAAAGACGCTTTTTGCAGATAATTTACATATTTTTATATAGAATACGCAGGGACTCAGAAGCAGTTCCAATGAACATGTCAGTGTTGACTTTGCAAGAATATGAATTTGAAAAGCAATTCAACGAGAATGAAGCCATCCAGTGGATGCAAGAGAACTGGTAGGTGATGTTTTGATGTAATACTAGGTCTAGGTACCCTGACTGCCTTTTTGATGTGTCTTAATGTTAATATTTCTGTACTAAGGTTTGAAATATGAATTGCACAAATACCAAGCGAATTTGTGTAAGTTTGTGTGTATCTTGTGTATATGTAGCTTATGCTGTGGAAGTGCACCTAGGAAAATGTGTAATTCTTGTGAATATGCACTATATATTATATAACATAATAGAACACATGTGTTTATTGTATAGAAAGATGTGTGTATGGCAGAGGAAGAGGGGAGTGATTCTTAGCTTCAGAATTCTAAAATGTGTAACCTTCTAGTTTTTTGTAAGAATTTGCAATTTTTTTTCATAATGCATGGCCTGACATATTTAGAATAGAAAAGCCGTCAGAACGTGAAAATTGACCCACCTCCATCTCCTGATCACTCAACCCCCTTTTTCCATTCCCCCCCACACCTCCTTCGGGTACACTCCCCACACCCTTTCACCATCTCCTTTATGCCCTTCCTTTCTCCTTGCAGCCCTTTTCCATACTACTGCCCCTTGTTCCAGCCCCAATCATTCCTTTCTAGGGACCTCTTTTCCCATTTTGATCCGATCCCCTTTCCGGTTACAGGAAAGGGTGGGAAGGAAGAGACAACAATAATAAAAAATGAATGAACCCCGGCATGCGTAGAGATACTCACCATTATTAACTTTTTGCTTTTAAATGAAAACGCGCCCCTGGCCCTCCCTAGCAATTTGCTAGGCGTTAAAAGATTTTAATACAAGTTATTTGAGTTCTTGAGCCGAAAATGGATCGGGCCCTCATAGCTCGGGGAGGGGGGGTGCAGCATGGAGTCAGGGGCTCCTACTCAGAAAAAAGTTCTAACCGAGGGAAGCATCGGTCTTGTTTACTATGTACGTTCCCTTCTCTAGCCCCGCAGAAAATCCCAGTGCTAATGATCCAGTGTCACCTTGCAATATTTATCAGGAGGAGCATGTAATGGACTAATCCTTGTAGTCAGATACGGGGGCAGGGTTATAGTTTCCTTTTTCAACTGAGAGCCTTGCAAAGTCACCCAAAATACGAAGTCTCCATCAGGCAGCAGTTCTCAACCCCAGGTGAACCCAGGCTGCTGTCGGGGGCTGCCGGAGCCTCCCAGAGGCTCGCGGAGGTTCCTTCTTCTACACGCACGCTCGCCGAGCTGCAGACCCACGCGTGCGCGCACACAGACACACACACCCTCAGTCCCATCAATGAGAAACCAGTTGGCGCTGGCAGGAGGCGAAGCCAGGCTGGCGGACTAGGGGAGTAGAGGAGGAAGTGTGGTGGTGCAGTGGGGTGCCCGAGAAGGGAGGTTTAACTCGTCCCCTCTCTCGGCCCACCTCCAGCCGCCAGGGCTTGCTCGCCGGCCCCGGAGATAAGGAGAGCGTGCGCCTCGGTGCTCAAGGGGCAGAGACGCCATCAGCTCCGGCCCAGGGGCGCACACCCTCACGCACACGTGTACTCGGACGCCCTGCCGGCTCCTTCTTCCCCTCTCCCACCATCCCCCTCCCGACCACTTCCTCCCCAGGCCGGACCTGGCGAGCATTTCCCCGTTGCCGCTGCATTTAACCCTTTCTTGCCCGTCTCCGTGTGTTTCTCCATCCCTGGGGCTGAGCTTGCTCTCCAGAGCAGGCTGGGGGGTGGAGGGGGGTACTCGGGAGACGGGAGACGGGGCCTGCTCCGAGGTGGGAGGCGGAGCTCATAGCGTTTGCACTGGCTGCAGTGGTGCTGGGGGGGGAGGCGACGGGGGAAGAGAATGCAGAGGGAGCAGTGGTGTGATGTGGGGTGAGCGCGCCCTTGTATATATGGTGTGCGCGTGTCTGTGAGCAGGGGAGGAAGGGAGAGTGTAGGAGACGTTTTTGGAGGAACTAGAAGTGTGTTACACGCAGAGGTGGCTGGGCGTGCTCAGCAAGCACAGAGGGAGAGTGGCGACGGCAGCAGACTGGCACACACCCAGCAGTGGTGGTGCGGGCGGTGTATTCAGGTTGACCACTGGGAGGAGGCAAGGAACTCCTGTTGAGCGCCCTCAGCCAGTAGAAAATTAAACATTTAAAAGCCCTGGTTGATCCCCTCTGAACTGTGCCCCTCGGCATCCTTCTTGGTCCATTTCTGGAAATCTCCCACTCCTTAGTGGCTGTGCTAGAGAGACATGAAAACTAGGGCTTCCTTAGTAATCTCAAGCTAGTTTATCTGTCGTCGTTTTGCTGCATTATCCCTGTATTACACATACTCCTCCCTGAGTCCCCCTCTAATGGGCATCATCTGCTATTCCTTTTGTCCCTTGTAGTCCTTGTTGGAATTTCTGCAATAAAGCTGCCCCATGGCCAAGTTCCTGTACCCACTATTAACCTGTGTGTCCTGTTCTTCTTTTAGTGAGTTGCTACTGTTAACTGCACATTTGCCCTCAGTAACTATAGTCCATTCCGGGATGGGGAACCTGCTGCCTCGAGGCCACATGTGACCCTCTGGGTCCTCAAGTTCGGCCTTTTGACTGAGTCCAAGTTTTACAGAACAAATCCTTATACACATACCTCTATAAATATATAGATGGATGTGGTTTAATTATGTATGTATACACGATATGTAAACGTGTGTCTATATGTGTAATTTAGCCACACCTTTCATTCTAGTGTTCTCACTTTTTCCCTTTGCTTGATCCTATTCTTTCTTTACACTCTCATTTTCCTTCCTTCTGGGCCTGCACAAAGCCATCTGTGAAACCTGTTTGCCAGCTCACCAGTGCTTCCTTCCTAACATCATTACGTTTTACCTGTATCAGACACACTCTTAAAGCATTTCCCTTAACAGTTTCACCTCCAGCCACAAAGGAAGAAACAAAAGAAAAAGCACCACCACCACAAAGGACTTAATAAGATAGTGGTTGTTAGAAATTCACCTGCCATTAACCCCTCCCTTTCATCAATGAGAGAAGGAAAAGAACTAGAGGCTTGTGGCCCTGGACACCTGTGGAGCCCTGGTGGAAGTGATGGGTTACTTTGAAGATTCATGTATTTCTAGGGAACTTATATTATTTCATTATAAACGCTAGTAGTTATCTATTTCCTTGCAGGAGGGCTAGGATAAGCTTCTGAGGAAGGAAAAGTAGTGGATTTTTCTTTCATTACCATCCCCTACATTGTTCTCAGTGTATAAACCTTGTCTATTTGACTTCTTTTCTTAGACTTGCTTTTAGTTCATTTCTGCATCTTGTTCTTTCTGATTTTGCCCTAAATAAAATTGGAGAAAGGCTGCTTATGCTTAGATTTTTTTTTTTGAGATAGCCCAGTAAACTACCTACTAGGAAAATTGGCTGAATTCCTCATTGACTTCCATGTTGACACCCTCAAATTGCTGATCTAAGAAGCTTTCCTCTGTGTGGAAGAGTGGAAGTGAAATGTTCCTAGGTTTTCACTTTCCCCAGTCCAGGCATACGTTTAAAAAATAAATTATGACCTTTTGAGATCATTTAGACCAGTCCCCCTTCTTTCCAGGTGGGGAAACTGAGGCTCAAAGTGGTTAGTTAAGTACCTTGACCAAAGTCAAACAGCTAATTAGTAGCCTGATGACTGACTGTGGAGTCATTGAAATTCAGAATGTTCAAAAACAAAAACAAAAAAACAAGACCTTTTAGCCCCACCCCCCTGCTTTAGAGATTTTACACTCTGTGTCTTTCAGTCTTTTGTTCAGTTTAGCCTAAATTCTGATATAATGTTGATTATGTGAGATTTTTAAAAAATGATTTAATCTTAAATTGTGTAAGGCAAAGGTAAATGCTACTCCACCCCTTTTGAGAGAAATGTTTTGAATCAGCTTCTAGGGAAAAAAATGTCAAAATTAAATAGAACCACACCCAACTGAAATCTTATCTTTTAAAAATGACTTTTGCATTTGTCACTAAATAGCCCTCCTAAGCACAGTCTTAGAGAAACTACTCTATTTTAAAATTGCAGCAATATAGCTTAATTCTCTATAGTCTGAACACATCCAAAGATGATACAGCCAAAATTTTCTAGAAGTAAAGACAGGTAAATGGTCTTTTTTCTGCATCTGGATTTCTAACATGGTTGTCTAAGACTGCCATCATTTACATTTGCCCTATAATAGGTATTTTGTTATATAGATTATCTAACTAAATAGGATCCCTTTGAAAGATACATTTCGCAATTTTTATGTCAAAGTTGTTTCATTGGAAGTGTTTGAGCAGAGACAGGATGACTTCTTTTCCCATATATTGGAGAGGTAGATTTATAGAGACCAGATAATATTTAAGGCCCCAAATTGTTATGATTCCAAGATTCTAGGGGCAGCTAGGTGGCAGTGCGTAAAACATTGGCCCTAGACTCCTGAGGACCTGAGTTCAAATTCAGTGACCTTGGGCAAGTCACTTAACCCTGATTGCCTCAAAAAAAAAAGATTGCATGATTCTAGTAGGATAAGCAAATATTAATGGAATAACATTGGTTCTTTTTTTCTAGTAAGACTTGGTCAAACAGGAAAGAATTCCATTAAAGGCATGTTTATCAAATTTTGTATTATCTCAGTGAATAGATAAGAAGATTAGGGATTAATAAAGGCGTGAAATGAATGCTATACCCATTTTAACTTTCCAGATATTTATATTAGATTATATAGATTAGATCTAGATATATAGAACAGCATGAAAAGCAAAGAAATATATTCTGGAGGGGAACAAATTCCACATACCATAATAATTTCAAGTAAAAATATTTCTGAGTAATAAAACAATTTTTATTTGGTAAGTGGCAGTTTATTTCTCAAATGATAGGAAAAGCTTAACATGATATTTAAAATGTTTAAAGTATTGCAGTTTTTAGATGAATGTGTTTGACACTTAATTTCAAAAGGAATTTATTAAGCACCTACTATGTGTTACATAGTCGAAGTTGTAATTTTCTGGGAATACAGTGGGTAGCCCTGTTGCTTTACTGAAAGAGAAATAGGGGCA